GCACCACAAACGTGAGCAGTACTTGATACGACTAATACGGTCTGACGGAGGCACCAGTAGTGAGAGGCGCAGGATTTTAGTAGCGGTGGCAAAGTCTATTATGCTATACGGAGCTCCCATATACAGGGTGACTTCGAAGTTGAGTCATTTATTTTAACAGTGAGTAGATCTGATCAAAAGAAATGTTTTATCCCTTTAACATTTTTCTGGTAAAGTTAAATTAACAAAGTTATAGCCCTTTAGAGGTTTGAGTACTGCCCTGTCTCAATAATAATATTATGTGCTCGTGTTTGGCAACAACGGATATAATCCGCCTTATCGGTTCATCGCATCGGAAACAAAAAAGCGAAAGAATTTGAAACGTTTATCACGATGTCAGTCAATGTGTCAGTCGGTAACGAGTGAATAGTGGTGTTTGTTGCGAAATGGCACATGTTTACGAAAATGCTGAACTTGTGGACATGATTCTTATTTACGGATTTATGCGAATCGGTTTCCCAATCGAGTGCAACCAACCTTCTCGTGCCTTTGTTAATGTAGTACAAAGGGCTCGTGAATCAGGTGACTTAAGACCTCACAGGGGAGGGCATGCCGGTGCTCCAAGACCGCACGATCAAATACAGGTCCGCACTGAATTACTTGTCGGGAGGATACTTTATAAAACAAGGTAACATTTTTTTTATTTTTTTTAATTTTTACACACATATTTTGGTTTATCTTCGTTCTACAATCATTATCTGAAAATTAATGACTCAACTTCAAAGTCACCCTGTATAACAAGGCCTTGAGGAAAAACAAATATAGACAGCTGATACTAACAAGCCAGCGAAAAGTAGTCCTGCGATTGGTATGCGCTTACAGAACGGTGTCGACCGGTGCGCTGTTACTGGTAGCTGGTATCCCGCCAATTGATTTGCTGACTGCGGAGAGATGTGTACCCTATAAAAAGGGCGTCGAAGCTACAAACGATGAAAGAGAGGCGCTTTTTGTCAGATGGTAGGAGAAATGGACCAGAAGGCTGATCCCAGATAATAAAACTTGAATTGACAAAGGAAGCGGTGCGGATAGATTACTACACTTCACAGTTCCTCATAGTACGTACATGGTTATCTTGACAGCTACTTGAAGAGGGTAGGAAAGGGAGAGTACGCGAAAAGCGTATGTTGCAAAGAAAAGGAGAATATGTACTCCAAATCACTTGCTCGAATAAGGTATGTGGGTTGACTACCAGACACAGCTGGGATTGCTGCTTAGCGAGAGGCTCACTGTTGACAATTTTGCCACGTATATACGCGAAGGAAGATGGGCTAATATTCGACAAATACTGAGGCAAATGCGGCTCAGTAAGGTACGGGAGGACACAAATAGACCAGGAAGCCAATAGTATTTTGCTCGATTGTAAATGTATGTATTTGTGTGCGTACAATAGATAATAGATCACTAATACCTTCGGGATGATAACCTAGCGCAACGCTACCGACTATAAAGAAATGCATTACCATGGTGGGATGTGTGGCGAACCACTGACGGGTTTTAGTGAGTATGCCATTTCTAGAGAATCTCACACTTCGGGCAGGAAGGGTCAGCAGGGCAATACTGTCGAGCTTTTCTGCCTGAGGGTATCTATGAATGCTGTCCCCTGTCAAAAAAAGCCCTAAACAAATAGCATAGCTCTTTCCCAACAGCTGTTGAGATTGACGAGATGTATTCGTGGCAAAGTTCTCGGTGATCTGGTTTGCAACCAATCGAAACCGGGTGAGCTCTAGAGCGCTTCTCATTAGTCAGGGTGCAGTACTGTGTTTTGAACGCGAATTTCCGGATCGTCAGAGATGAAGCCTCCCCAGCTCGTCAGTAGAGATCAGATTGCCACACTGAATACCTGCGTGTAGAGTGATGTCACCAGCAAAGCTGTGGATGGGGTTGCGGTCATTGATATGTAATATTAAACAATGTTGCGGCTAAAACCTATCCCTGAGGAATACCAGTGTTGATATTGCAGAACAGAGAGGAGAAACCAGTAATTAAAAGTGATATCTGGCGGCCGGAGAGAAATAAATTGATGTATGAGATTAGTTATCGAAAAGATACGTAAACCGGCAAGCATTTTTGCTTGATCGAATGCAATCGGCACATCGAGTATTTCCACTTGAAAACGCATACGCGCGATTTTGCCGATCGTAATGTCGACAGTGCAAACAAGACATCGATATAAATTTCCACGGGAAACTTTTATTGATGTGAAAACCGATTATGGAAACGCGATGTGTCATGACGGTGGAGTATACGGCCGACCGTCTGCTAGACCGCAGCGTTCTATGCTAGAAGTCGGAAGCTATTTATAAAGTGTCCGGCACAAAGGTCGGGCAGTTTTAAAAATCATAAAATCGGTAATTTTTACTCGAAAACAAATTTATTGACAGATGTGGGTTCACAATGTAATAGCGTTTGTCACAATTAAGTGAGGAAAGTCACATCCGTCATTGCCTCCTTCAACTCGTCCAGAGTTCAGGGCTTGTGCCCGTATATATGAGCCTTGCGGTGTCCCCATAGGAAAACATCGCAGATGGATAAATCTGGGACCGAGGAGGCCAATGAACATCACCAAACCTGGAAATAAGGCGACCACAGAAGAGAGGGCGAATAACATTCATCGTTGCTCTGACTGAGTGGGCGGTCTCCCCATCACGGAGGAACCAGACATGTCGGAATGAAACACGTCATCGACATAGCGCTCCGAGTACACGGTAACAGGATTGCCATTACCGTCTTTGAAGAAGTAAGGACCGATGATACAAGTTTGCGATATAGCGCACCAAACAGTCACTTTTGGGGTATGCAGCGGACTTTTATGTAACTGTCGCAGGTTTGATTAGCCCAATAATGGCAGTTCTGCTGGTTAATCATGGCATTAAGGTTAAAGCTAGCTTCATCACTCATGAACAAAACGAGGTTCTCATTTTGCTCGATAAGTGCTTCCATTTCACGTGCGAAGTTCATTTGTTGTGCGTAAACTCCAGGCTGTAACTGTTGCATAATGGCCAATTTGTAGGGGTGAAAGTGGAGTTCCATATGAAAAATACCCCTTACCGAACGATCACTGAATCGAAGTTCAGCAGCATGTTGCCGAGCAGATCGAGCCGGACTGCGAAGGAAGGCTTGACGAACGCCTTCCACATTTTTATTGGTTCTAACCGTTCGTGGAGCTCCTGGTGGTCTTTTGTTGATCAGTTCATCACATGTGTGAAGTGATTGAACTCAATTAAGGATCGAGAAGAAACAACTCGATTCCGATGAATATTGAAGTGGCGACAAAACTTACGGTCAACAGCCCTGATAGACTCATTATATCCGACAAAACTGTAATATGCGAAAAAGCGATGCTTACCGGCATGGGTATCATGTAAAAAACCTATACAACGTCAAAAAAAAAACCTATAAGATGTCATTTTGCAAACTAGGTAGTTTTTAAGGCGCAAACAGTCATTCCACGTTTGCTCACTAGGATCGTTGTGAACGTCCATCTAAGGAGGAATCACTCAACTAAACTACATGCATTATTGGTTACATATGTTTTGTGAGGCCAAATGGTCCTTGTCTGTAGTTTTTAGCACTGAGAAGAAAGTTGGTTGAATAGCAAGATCGCATCTGGATGATTCTGTGTATTTTGGTCTGCATGTATATAAAATCAGTGATATTTGCTGTGTGAGAAAATCATTACTGAATATGCCGCCAATGGAGTATATCTATTACCTGTGCCCGACGGATTATTTTTATGTTGTGCTTTCTGAAGAGAGGCTATGTTCAAAGTTATAAATTACGAAAAACTGAGTAGAATCACGGGAAATCATCACCTCGCTCGCGTTGTGTGTAATAACTGTTAGCATGTATATGGCTTGTAATTCGACAGTGTACAGTGAATATAATTATTTCTTAACTCTCTCATTTTTTAAATTCAGTAAATTTGTATATGTAATATCCAGAATGGATAAGAAAAAGTGGATGCGCAACTAATTACTAGCTTTGAATCTCAATTAAGTGTATTTGAGGCAAGAACCCAATGTAATTATCATCAACACATACAACTTACAGCTTAGACCTCCAGTAATGCCATCTCAGAGGCAGATTTTACATCACATCAGAGCCAAAGATTGATAACAAGCCTCATGACGTTTAGGCAACACGTACGACTAAGTGCTAAGTCAACGTCTTGGCGAAAAATCTACATAATGTCAAAAAAACAGCATAACGTCAAAAAAATCGGAATAATGTCACTTTTCAAAATACGTGATACCCGTACCGTCCACTGCTTCATAATTTCTACTGGTAAAAATGCTAGTATCGCCCGAGCTGAACGACACTGGCCCCAACACACTGGCCTGAACTATTAGCCATTTCAAAAACATCCGTCCTTTGTGCCGGACCCTGTACTATAGGTATTTCAGCAAGAAAAAAAATGTCTTTCTAAATTTGAAATTATTTCCAGCTGCGACCTACAAGTTATTTCACTACTAAGAAATCATTATCGACAGCAATCCTCCAGTGAAACATTTTTTCTCTTTCTAAGCTAATAGTGCTGATAAAAAGCACATTTTGACAATTCGATTGTGAGTTCGGCAATTGTACTTTATATTTCGAGATATTTGAGCAATTAGTGGCGTTGTATGTAACTTCTGAATTCCAATGTTAAAATAAAGAAAACATAACCAATCAATATTTATACCTTACTCCCCTTTAAAGTGAAAAGAGTCATTAGTTTCAATTTCATCATGACAATAGGAGACGAGATATTACAAAGTATTTGTAAAATAAGTCGGAAACGTCATGACCCACCATTGATTTGAAGATGTCTCTACAGGGCTCTAATAGAACATGTGCCTAGTTACAGTTAGCAGTCTAATGTCGCGCTACCTACATTATCATTAGTGTGGGAAGCGGAAAAATGTGACACTTTTAAAATATAGCTTTTTGATATTCTGAGATCAAAAAATAAGACAACTCACGCTAAAATGCCCGACATATGGAACACCTCAGCGTTCAAATAGGCCAAATAGGACATGACGAAAATGAAGATGGGCTCGATGACCCTCACTTCGTTGGTGAACCTGGTGACAAGGGCCGTGGCGACCCCCCAAATCACACCAATCACAGTGCCACCTAGAGCCACCACCCAGAAGTTCAGGAAGCCTGACAAGACGTCCACGTACAGGATGTTGTTCAGGCCCATTTCGGAGTATGACTCGAACAGGTGATAGAGTACCACCGTCACCGCGTCGTTCAGGAGGGATTCGCCGAATACCACGATGTACAGGATCTCGTTCACCTGAAAAAAGGAATGGCGTCAAGTAGGTTGACTCTGTACTTCCCACGCAACGCCGTCGTCAGTTCATAACGGATTGTCCAGCACAGGCTAGATCCTCTTAGAAAACAGTTAGTTACAATCATGTGTAAGAAAAAAATTAAACGGCTCAAGTTAGTCTAACAGCCCATACAGTTCGTCCATAGAATTTTTCCACGCCCTATCTGGTATGATAGCATCGCTCCTCGCTTATGGCTGACCTCACGACGATTTAGACTCAGCAGCGCCGCAGCGCGGCACGGCCTCATTAAATTCTGGACACATATCGAGACAGGGATGCCCGCCGGTGGATCCAAAAAGCAGAAGCAAAGAGCCGTATAGAAAGCATTACCATATCATTCTGAGTTTTAAGGGAAAATGTGTGATGTGTGAAATAATAATGTCTAATGGGTGTGTAAAATTGCCGGGGTTGGAAGCATTTAAATATACTAGCATCAAAAAACTGAGATAAACCATCTACACCCTCTACAACCGCATCCCCCAATATTTAACCCCTACAGTTTTTTTTGAAAATGATCAGGAGCCGCAGCAACATCAAAAAATGTAATTTGAGCGATTTCTATTTTTTCGTTTTTTTGCTCCGTAGCTCCACCGCTACTGTACCGATTTTCAAAGAAGCACATTTTTATTTGGCTTGGCATAGTAATAACCTTATATGAAAATTCCATCCAAACCCGAACAGTACTTTTCAAGCTATAGACGGGCCAAGGATTACCGGACAGACAGAAAGACCGACGGAAATGAATGACATGGTTGTTCGTAATGTGCATATTATATAACATCCAAAAAACATATTTGGCCGTATTTATAAAACAGCATATACTTGAAAGCATAAGGTGAAAGTATAAGGTTTTGCTTAGGAGAAAAAGGTAGAAGTATAAGCATATCCTTCTTTTCATATTCATAATGATTACCTTACAGGACATGTCCTGATTTGTTCCAGTTTGTAGTGGGCGTGGGACCTCGTTCACGCAGCATCGCTTACACAGTCAGTTGTACTCTTTTTACTGAATATAGTTTTTGATCATACTAGTAAGCATGCCATCCTCAAGTGATGAGGAAACTGAAGAAAATAATGACACGGAACTACAGTTAATCGCAGATGAAATTGCAATTACTCCCATTATTTTGGAAAAGTCCCAAGTTCCAAAAATCAATAAGAGAACGGACGATGCCTTAAAAAATATATCGAAAAAATACCATCAGCATTTAGTAAACCAGTAGATACTAAAGGCTTATTGAAAATATCAACAACATGAAATCGACATTGAAGAAAAAAACATCTAAAAAACTGGTAACAAGGCAATTAAATTGTTGGATTGGGAGAGACAATTGCTGAAAGCTATGGAAGGTGACTGTAATCCTACCATTGGAAAAGTTAGAGATGCCATCAGGTTGTAGTGTTCAAGAAGAAAGAAGTGCACTATATACTGAGCGTCGTAAGTACATTATATACAAAGGCGGTTCAATAAGTTCCCATGTTAGAAATGAAGACACCATTTTTTCCAAAAAATTGCTTTTAATTTTTCAACATAATCCCCTTTTAGAAAGATACACTTTTCCCAACGTTCCTGCCATTTTTTAACCCTCCCCCTCAAAAAATAGGATTTGTCGAACTCTCCAAAATACGCCTGTCTTGGCGAAGACTTCCTCGTTTGAGCTAAATGTTTTCACCGCGAGCCGTTTCTTCATGTCAGGGAACAAGAAAAAGTCGCAGGGGGCGGATCGAGTGAATACGTGTGCGGCAGCACTACATAACGCAATAAATGCAGTTTGGCGGCGACAACTTCGGATGTATGTGCTGGTGCGTTATCGTGGTGAAACAGCACCTTCTTTGTCGTCAAATGTGGCCATGTCTCCTTTAATTTTTTGTCGAAGCGGTCCAATAACTCACTATAGTATTATCCAGTGATCGTTTTTCCTTTTTCTAAAAAATACACGAGGATGACGCGGTTCGAAACCCAAAAAATCATCGCCATGACCTTTCCGGCCGATGGAACCGTCTTCGCCTTCTTTGGAGCAGATTCACCTGAAGAAATTCATTGTTTTGATTGTTGCATAGTTTCTGGTGTGTAATGATGAATCCAGGTATCATCGACGGTGACAACTCGACGCAAAAACTGCTTCGGATTTCGCTTAAATTGCTCCAAACGGTGCTTTGAAGTTAACAGCCGCATCCGCTTGTTGTCCACCGTGAGCAATCGCGGCACCCATCGGGCCGACAATTTTTTCATAGCCAACTTATCATGTAAAATATTGAATGCCGTTCCGGTTGGCACACCTCGGCCTCTGCTACTTGGCGCACTTTTGTTTGTCGTTCAGCGAGAATCATGTCGTGGACTTTTTGAATGATTTCCTCGGTAACCACGTCTGCCGGGCGTCCTGGTCGATCTACATCAAAAACGGATATTCGCCAACGTTTAAATTCATTTTACCAATATCTAACTGTGGTCATAGATGGCGAAGCGTCCCCACAAACAGCATTCAACTTTGCTTTTATGTCCTCGCATTTTTTCCCATCAAAAAATAAAAACGATACTGCTCTTTTTCCATCTTAGCGAAAATCACGAAACACGCGTTTCTCGAATGGCTGCCAATTCGGAACTAACCTATCAATCAGTCTGAAATTTGTTGTGCCGTCCTTTGATAGATGGCAGCACACGATGATAACATTAACTGGGTACGGGTACTTATTAAATCGTCCTCGTAGTTATATAGTTATAGTAACGTATCATAGCGCCACCAAAAGAAAATTAGCAGCAGAAAAATATGAAACTGACGATATCTGTTAACACAAAGAAATTGGAAATGATACAGCGTTAGAAGTCACCTGCAACTTATGATATTGAAGAAAATAAAACTTATTATAACTTATAAAAATCCTTTTTCAGTAAAACTGTGTATGACAATAGTCAAGCTTCGTCTTATTTCTTGACCTAGTTGGCGAAGAGGAAGTTCGTCATTTTCATAATTTCCTTCATCTTCATCTGGTACTTGTTGAAAAAACTCAAACTTAGGATCGCCCAAGGTTTTTGCAACATTATGGAGTATAATACAAGCAACAATTATTTTGGGCACATTTTGTAACTTTACGCGGCAAACATACTGTATACGCGGCAACCATACTGTAGGATAGGGAACCGATATTTCAATTGACCAAAACAGCGTTCTATTATAACTCTTTCTTGTTTTAAAAGCTTATTATAATTTAGTTCTGCACCCGGAATAGGATTTCTGAAGGGAGTCATAAGGCGTGGCTCAATACAATATCCGTCATCGCCAAGTAGTACTAACAACATTGCTTTATTTATTAGTTGTAATCTAATCTGTGAATTTCTCCATATTCTGGAATCGTCCACTGATCCAGGCCAACTGATACCAACGCTTGGGAGCATATCTCTGTCATTACATGTGGCTTGCACATTTAAAACAGGTTTCTCTTTTCGCTTGGTGTACTCATCTTCATGGCGATTTCGTTTCAGGATCCCTACATGCGTTCAATCAAGTACACCAATTGAAGTCGCAAATGTATACTTGCTCTGCCATATCCTCTTGGCCTCCATTAGTTCATGGTTGGTAGTTGGAGACTTGATCCATTTGTTTGACTGTGCCTCTTTGCCGTTCACAACAGTATCGATAGTCCGAAATGTCGTTGCTTGACTAACACCAAGTTTCTGACCGATACTTTGTTAATATCCAGGGTCACCGATATAGTGTAGACATATCTTCGTTTTATGAATACATGGAAGTGCATTATCAACTAAAAATCTGTCCGCAAGCCATTGTAAATTTACTTCTTCGAACCAATATAATCTTTTGAAGTCATGACCAAGTGAATTTAAGCGGGGTTTTTACCTTTTAGCATCCCTAACATTCACAATTTCCGCCATCACCATTCGACCCACCTTTCGTTACGAAGTTGAATCTGCTACTGGCCTCACTCAGAATTTTTGGAGAAAATGCTTCCTATGCCAAGTATAAGGTGAAGATTATATAAATCCTTTTACTTATGTGTCACTGCTTTAAAGGACATATGCTAATACTCAAAAACATTTGCTTCAAATTATTATAAATACCATCTAAAGAATTTCTTTCGGAATTTGCTTTGTTTTATGAATACGGCTCAATAACTCATTTTCGAAATTTTTAAGTTTACAATACTCCCTCGCCAGAGGCTTAGGAAATTAATTAGAATGCGCCAAGTTGATTATCCCAATTCGTAGGATGTTACTTGAGTAGAAAAGAGCGTGTAGACTTGAGGCCTAAAAAGCCTGGTTTTCAAGATACAGGATGCCAAAGTTTTTCAAGATGTGAAAGAATCTTGTGCCGATTTTGTTAAATTTTGGCAGCTTTATTCATTGAAACAAGACGCTAAGTTAGCACTAACTAAGAGGTAATTATGAATTCCAACGTTTCAAGGGGGAGTCTCACAAATAATATTGAGGAAAAATGTAGACCACCGACATTTAAAAGAAATGTATTTTTTCGGATTAAGCTGCTAATGATAAAACTTTGTTGTCCATTGGTATTTCTTCGTATTTTACATAGTTTTCGAGGAAAAAATATATGAACATTACACGTCTGAAAATTGTTAAAATCAAATTACCTTTGTTCGTTGTCGGGGAAAGTATTTGTATATATGTATTTTTGATTTTTTGTGGGAGTTTGATATTATTTCTTCTACATGTATATTTTGAAAACCAGACACTCATGCTCTTTATGAACTAGAATTTGGTCAGGAATGCGCACTTGTAATTACGATCTATGATTAAGTAACACTCTGTATATTGACAAAAATGTATTTCAAATTCTTGGAGCACGACGATCATTGAAATCCTGAAGATCCTTCCGTCTCAGCCTGAATTATTCAAAATGTTCACTAACCAAGTTCAGGAGTGAAGTGATCCAAGTAAGGAGAATTATTATGAAATCAAATTTGACTATTTTCCAAAATATTTACATTTCTTGAAAATAATTATTACTACAACAAAGAATACAACATTAGAGACGTTTTGATGTATTTAGTTTTTTGCTCATAGCTCCAACGTCATTGGACTGATTTTCATAATTATGTTAGTATACACAAACATCATAAACGTAACAGATACATTTAGAAGTTTGCATTAGTTTTAACCACTTAAAGCACGGTAGTGGTCATTTGAACCATATTTAAAGCAATTTAATTTTCAGTGACCATGTATTGTTCCAAAAAAGGTCGAACAAAAGTTTCAAGTTACTGATTCCGAACCCCTTTATTATAAAGCGCATGATAATTTCCAAAAATTCTTGCGTATCTTTGATCTGTATCTTAGCGCTGCGATTAACGGGTGTGCTCCGGCGGCTAATTATTCCTTCGATTTGGTCCCAACTTACATTTTTCACGACCCTGATCAAATAACTGATTTTGGGCAAATAGGCTGACCGAAGAAAAAAGAAAGCGCAATCTAAATATAACACTAACAAAAATAATGAATAAATATCGTGCAACAATTATTACCGATTCGCGAATAATCTAAGAAGCAGTGAAACAAAATCGTCTGAAATCATATGATAATTTTTTATTATGCAAAATCAGAAAATTGCTCGTCGCTTGTCAAGCCAAAAGAGCAAAGAAAAGCATTGTCTGGGTGAAAGGGCATTCTGGCATCAGAGGCAACGATATGGTAGATAAAGCTGCAAAAAATGCAGTTAACCCTAGTACGATTACTGTTGTGCCAGTTTTTCCTGATTTATTCATAGAGATCAGAGTTAACATCAAGAAAAGATGGAATTTAATCTGGTCCAACCTTGTAGCAACCTCCCGAAATCATTATGCTCTTTTTTACCCGACCCTTCTCAATATAATTCTCCACAGGGGTCTCTTCTACATGAATAGAAGATTCTCCACAATTATAACGAGATTCAGATTTGGTTATGGTTGATTTCCTGCTCGTCTTCATCGAATAGGTGTAATAGAGTCTCCAAATTGTGCTTGTGATGAATCTTCTA